AATGAACAATAAGACAAAATTAAAACAAACAATTATCAGTAACTCCAGAAATATCATATAATATCTGGCGATGTGTAATTAACATTGTGACATGAAAGTAATATTATTTAAAAATTAAAGAATTAAAATCGTAAGCATAAATAGATCAATAAACAATGTTTTTTATTCATAATAGTTTAATAAATAAAAAAATATTTAGAAAGATTAAAAATTATATTCTTTCGAATTGTTTATATTTAAATGATTGGAAACAATTACAATAATGATTTGATATGGCAGTCATCAACTTTGTATATGGACAAATTGATGTATTTCTATAGCATTTGTTCTCATGTTTGGTTACTAAATGATCAAGATGTTTACATCACAATTATGATGCATTCGATAAATATTTGAGTATTAAAGAAAGAAAATACAAGAATGTAATTAAATAAAAATTATTTGTTTCGGTTTTTACTTCCAAAAAGTCTCTCAAAATATTTCTTAGCATGCATATAAATAAGAAAAAAACAAAAGTATTTACAAACAATTTATAAAAAATTTTGTTTACAGAAAATTGCGGGAAATTTTCAAATCTATGGACGTTAATGATAGTGGCACAATAAAATTGGGGGAAGTATGTACGTTTTTCCATATGAAGTATATCTTTAAAAAATCATCAAACTTAACATGATCTTTTTATTCCAGGCTTGGGTGATGTTACAGTCAAGCACAATGTGTAACAATTTGTCTCTCTTGGATCTGCTCAACACAGTAAATAAGAAATCTGGTAATGCTTGCGTATTATATTTTTATGACGTTTAACAAATTTGTGTTAGTAAAAAATATTAAAGTAAAATATATTTGTTGTGCAGAAATCTATAGGACATTAATAGATGGATTTCCGGCAAAAGGTGACCCAACCGAATTGCGAATAAATTTCGAACAGTTTTGCGTTTTAGCCAGTGAATCATCGTGGATGCGGACGAAGAGTAATGGCATCTCTTGCGAAAGTGAGATACCTTCAGTATGGAATATATTATGTAGGAAGACCTCAAATTTCTTGCGCCGAGTTTTCGTACATCCTTTTAATCGTTTCCTAGGTATTTCTGATTTTCAACAATTTCCCACGATCTTCAAAGAACTCACTGTACACTTCTCTGAATCTTTCATTTCCTCACTTCCCAAAATTGAGCACTTGATTTCGTAAAAATTAGGTAAACAAAAAAAACAAAGTTTCTTTTAAACTATCAAGATTTAAACTTTTTCAGATTGGACTAATTCCTTTGTACAAGAGTTCGAGAAGAGAGACATTTATGTTGGTGTAGTCAGTAAAGATCTGTTTTGGTTAGAATCTTCTGCAATACCATTGATAGAGTGAGTATCAGCAGCTTAGTGATAATTACCGAGTTATGCTATATTAGAGATTGAGATTGTATTGGGTTGTCCGGAAAGTTCGTGCCGATGTTGAAGGAAAATTGAAACGCAGAAAATTTAAATTTTAGTTACATTTATTAAATTATATAGGTTAGGTTGGCACGAACTTTCCAGACAACCCAATATTTAATCAATCAGAATCAATTATCACGAGTGCAATAATTCGCACAAATGCCTAAACAAAATAAACGTAATTCTCGTAAGAGAATAAATAATGTAATAAAATAATGTAAAATTAAGAAATAATAAAAATTGAATGAATTCAAGACCTCGATATATATATATATATATA